ACTCGGGTCTCGGGCCGTTCAGAGCAACCGAGGGCAATTAGCGGCAGGTTTGTCTCCCACACTGCCGTGCAGAGTACCTATATAGAGAGAGTATGGACATGTCGAAAATTTTGAGGTTAGATGATGGAGCTCTTAGACCCCAAAAGGGTAGGCAATCTATGAATTCCAATTATCCAGAGTGATTTATGATCACAATTGTTGGGAAGTTGGGAACTGTCGTTATTAAAGCACGTATTTGACTTGGTTTTTGCATAAACTTACTCATTTTTGCGGAAGAATGCTAACTTATCAATTTTCTTGTCCATTTTCGTTTAATATTGGAGTCTAAAGATTGACAGTGACATTTTTCGTTTTCAAAGGTTACCTACCATTTTGGGCTACATATTTCGAGTTGTCCATACTCTCCCTATATAGGTACTCTACTGCCGTGCTGAGGGAGAACGCCGTATCGCTTAGTAAGTAATAGCGTAGTAGTAATCGCTTAGGTCTTTGATCATCCGTCGTCATTAGGCGAATTGGATCTTTGACTTCTGAACGTAACTTTAAAACTAAAAAGCTTGGTGTCCACGATCAAAATTAGCCTACACTGGAAAAAAAACACGTTGGATCTAGAGTCCAGACTCTTAAAAATATCGACAAGAAAAAGTACTCTTGATTCAATCAAAATCTAGCTTAAATCAAGAACCAAGCCTCTTAATTTGAGCGGAATCCGTTTTGATTCAAGCAAAAATCAGATTGAATCAAGAGTATTTTTTCTTGTCAATGTTTCTAGATCCAATGTGTTTTTTTTTCCAGTGTATCAAAAATGAAGAGTCCTTCTACTTTTGAATCTATAGACAGAGTATCGAAGGAACGTGTTTTTTACTCTAAAAATTGAAGACGCCTCTCAATTTTGATCAGCAATACTAGGCGCATTTTCGCGAGTGGATTTGGTCGACTCTTTGAGCCAGATCGGCAAAGTCCTCTGCGGAAGTCAAGAACTAGAATCAGTGGCTTGATTAATTTTGGCCAATGTTTGCATCCATCCACTTTTCAACTCATCGGGGGAGATGGGTCGATAATCTCAGAAAAAAACCAAATAATGCAGGGGCCTCGTTGCTCGGAGGGAATCTCGTTTTTTTGTAACGGAGGTTGGCAGTAAGTTGAAAACTTCAACTAAATCCTTTCGCGAACATTCGCCTAATCATCAGTCGCATCGATGACCCACTTTGTTGGGCATATTTCCATTGCGGAAACCGAGCTTAGGAACACTGGAAAAATAACACATTGGATCTAGAGTCCAGACTCTTGAAAACATTGACACGAAAAAGGACTCTTCATTGAATCAGATTTAAGCTTAAATCAAAAGGAAATCCGCTCAAATAAAGAAGCTTGGTTCTTGATTTAAGCTTAAATCTGACTGAATGAAGAACATTTTTTTTTGTCGATGTTTTTAACAGTCTGAACTGTAGATCGAATGTGTTTTTTTTTCCAGTGACGGTAACAAATTCGGGGTTTCTGAAATGAAATGTGTACATATGAAAAATTCGACGCGTCCTGTCTCAGGAGGTTGGGGCACATCTTTTGAGACACTCTGGCGACGTCTGAAAAATCTCCCCCCAAAATGTCCGTTTTTGGGGTATTTCATTATTGACTTGCGGTCTAATAGAAACTCCGTACTGGGGACAGCCTCATTAGATTGTTTGCCTCGAGTTCACAACTTGTTCTCCCAATACAGAGATGTAAAATTTTCATTTCTAGGGTGTAATTTAACCAAAATAGTTTGACAAATGATGATACAGCAACAATTTTTATCAGTGACTATAGGTGACATCAATCTCTACCCGCTCTACAAGAAAGAGTAAAATTTTATACAACCTTTTACCTGATGGCGCTCAATGAAAGATGTCAGATTGCTTTAGAAAATAAATCCGATGGACTTAATCAATATTAACCGAAACTCCGTTTCATGTTCCTTAATTCAGGGCCGGATTTACTTACTTGCCGCCCCCTTCTCATCCGTTTTGAAACATCAATAAAAACCATCAAGTGAACGTGCCGGAGGGGGAGGGATGCATAAGACGCGTTTACTCGTGTTGGACACATTTTTTGCGAAAGCCCCGTGAACACTACTGTCAAAAGTTTACGGAACTTGGCGCGAAAGTTAAGTTCCGCTAACCTATCTCTGTGTGGACAAGGCCTTCCATTCATATGAAATGAACGAAAAAATTATGAAAGAACAAACATAAATGTGGTTTAATAATTTTAACTTCCGCCGCCGCGCCGCGCTGACCGCACTGTGCTCGGCGGAATGCGTGAAGTGTTCCTCCAGTCTTGTATGCGCTATGCGTTTCACGCCGACCGCTGCATGCACTGTGTTTGACGCAATGCGTGAAGTATTCATGCAGTCTTCTAGGCGCTATGCGCTTGCCGGCCGTTGCTGACCGCAGCGACCGCATGCGCTGTCTTTAACGCAATGCAGGAAGTATTCATGCAGTCTTGTAGGCGCTAATATGTGTTACATGCCGACTGCCGCGCCGCGCCGAGGGTTTCTCCTTTTCATCTCAAGTTCTCGTCATCATTGCTCTCTGCGCCGCGCCGTTCCAGGCTGAATTCCGTGTTTGGCTTCTCTGTTAGTCTTAACTCGACTAATTAAAGGTGATGTCTATTATATCACAGAAAGACGACAAAATTAGAGATACACTCTCAGGAAATGAGAGATTTTGTCACCTTTTCCCGTTTGTATTTTTTTTTTTCTGAATCCGATTTTTCCTTATACTTACATTAAAAAAAATTGCAAAATTGGCCGCCCTCTAAATTTACCGCCATGGGCCGCGGCCCATGTGGCCACCCCCTAAATCCGACCCTGCCCTAATTTCTCCTCATGATTCATTTTGAAAACAGAAGTGAATAGCATAATGCTTTGAAACGTCCTGTGAGTTCCCTCGTGTTAAAAAGAATATATGCTCTCACAAAAGCTCGAGTTGGAATGTTGAAAAGTTTTCCCTTCAGGGAAAGAAAATATGAAAATACATAAGGCAACTTTTGATGAAAGGAGGTTGATTCTGATTAATATCGTCCAATAATCACAATCCGTTACAGTTCGATTGAAAGCACCCTTAGGCGTTTCGCCCCCATTATGTGTAATTGGTTTCTTCACGTGCAGTAACCTTTAAACTAATTAATTGTCAAGTGTCAATAAGTATTTGGATTGAAATGAACAATTACAGCGTTCGTCACGGATTTGAAGAATTGTGTTCCAAGGGATTCACCATCCTTATTTGTCGTAGCACATCATCTCCCCAACAACTCACCTAAAACTGCGCCGGACATATTACGGCCCGGGCAAGAACGGGCAAAACGCCTTCATCTTTTTGCTTATGCAACACGGACATCTTTGAAGTTCGAATAGTTGCATCGCGACGCAATGCGTGAAGTATTCATGCAGTCTCGTAGGCGCTATGCGCTTCATCGTTATTCATACATGCCTCGCATTAGGTTAGGATTCTGTTAAGGGGCATTTTGCTTTCTTCCGATTCTGTCTTCGAATGAAACCCAATGACTATTTACTCTGCCACCATTTCATTATTATTTTAAAATGTTGGACATTTTTTCACATCCATTCTATCAATGGCGAAGAAAACTCTCAACCAAAAATTCGAGTTTTGTCTCAGTTATAATGCATTTTTAAGATGTGGCATCTGGCCCACTATTAAGTGCTAAAATTATCGACGATTTTCCCCTTAGTATGAGGAAATATTTTCGCATAGCTTGTAATTAACAAGCATATTCATAAGTTTCCTTTTAAGTACATATGAACGTAAAGCGTAGACAACGATTGGTGTGGATTGTAGAATGATTCTTTTTTACCGAATTTAACTCATTTAAAGGGTCGGATATTGAATGTAAGGCTGCGTTGAGCCTTTCGCATAAAGATATGTTTTAAAGGTGCGTAAAGCATACTGATATGGACGTTAATTACGCGGATATTTGATCCGTGACCTTAGGACTGGATTTTGTCTTTTTGTCAAAAAATTGATCGTCAGTTTTGTAGACTTTAATCACCCGCATCTTCTCGTACCCTCATATTCCACGGACGCTAATTCGAAGTATTTCAGCTATTCTTCTATTCCTAATTTCCTAGAATTTTAATGGAAAATCAAGTTACTGTTGCGAGTGCTGCCGTTGAAGTTGTGTTTTTGAGTCACGGGTTTACAGCATGAACGGCAATCGCGCATTTCATATTCATGAGAATTACTCGTGAATTCGAAATTTCATGTCAAAGTTTTTAGGGAAAATGAATCTTAATCTACGAAAACCAATTTCTCAGGAGAGCGATTTTTTTTCAAATTCTGCCAAAAAATCAGAATTCAAGTTTTTATGTAACATTTGGATATTCTTATTATACATGACACCCTCTGCAGGAAAATGTCAGTGGAAGTAGAAGCAAACCATGAGCCAGTTATGAGGACGCAGGGACTCTCAATATTATATTCAAAAATAATTCTGTGATCTTCCAGAGGGAAAATGATCTCAAAATTGGCCCAAATCCCAAATTCAACAGTGACGCGCTATAACTCCAATTTCAGCAAAAAACAAAGGGTTTTGTGTTACAAGAAAATGTCGCGTGTTTTTAGTTAAATTATTCGGGATATTTTTGTGTATTTAAATGTTTAGTTTACATTCTCATTAGCTTTTTTTTATCCCCGTCAAAAAAGTTCGTGAAATGTTGCTATTCTTTTGATCCCGCATTACGAATTCTCGCAGGGAACTTCGAACTTGTGATCTCACAAAGTTTCGTCTTCTGCGCACTCCTGTAACCGTTTTGTTCTGTCCATTCAACTCGTATTCCTCGTAATAATACTATCGGAATGAATGCAGGTATGTCTTGTCATAGAGGACACGCCGAGAAGACAAGGTAGAGAGCGGGAGGCGTGGCTTATGGCCCCCCTCCCCGGCCGCGGAGGGGAATCGTCGAGTCGGACCGTGTATGCAATACGCAGGAACAAGCTAAGAATCCTAATGTTATTCAATTAGTGTTCAAGTTCAGCGGCGAGCTTCTCCAGCGAGAGCCGTCCTCGTGATAAAGTGATAAAAAAAAGCAAAATTTCATCCCAAACCGTCTTGCTTTCTCAAGTTTTCTGTCACACTCTCTGAATTTCCGCCCGTGATTCTCCGGGTTTGTTTTTTCGCCGTTTTACGCACTGTTGATCAGTCGATTTTCGTCCGCGAGTGTTGTGTTTCGTGCTGAATCGGCCCGAGTGTTCGGTAGTCATACTGATTTTTCTTCACTGCCGAGTTTTAAGCTTTGACAAGTTCGATTTCAATAATTTCTTGTGATACGCTGCACTTTTTTACTATAGTTTCCGCGTTTTGAAACGTGAGCGGTGTTCTTATCACTTGGAGTTACCTTCCGTGTGGATTCTGTGAAATACTGTAGATTACTGTCGATAAGTCAGTATTACTGTTTAAAAACGATCGCAGTAAACTATCTCCCATGTGGAGCTTTTGAAAACAGCCGCACATGTGCCGTGCTTTTTTTTCGTTAAGAAAAAAACAACCTACCGTCGCGCGCCGACGGATAATGCGCCAGTGGTTATTTTCTCACCTGCGACATTAAGGATAAATATTCAAGCTGAAGTCGAAAATCAAATTACGTAAGTCGCATTTTGTTTACAAGCTTTTGCCTCGTACAGCTGGGTGTTTTTGGACTGGGTTGACATGTTTTTGCGAGTCCTAGAAAAAGCCAAGTTTTGTCAGCCGCGAATCCAAGACTGCAGGAGTGAAAAGCAGACTTATCAAAGGTGGTTGCAATGTCACCATCTGACAAGAAAAATACTGCTTTAGCCTATTTGTGATTCTTTAAGTTCAAATTTTAAGATCTTCTTCGAAAATATCACATCAACACCGCCAAATAGCACGTCGACCACCGACACATCGCATCAGGCTTTGGCTGCATTAAGTCTCAAGAAACCAATTCTCCCGGCTCACCTACAAAAGCGCCTATCTGCAGAGGGAAAGTAATCATACGTATGTTGTTTCTGAAATAGTCACTAAAGTTGACAATTTACATGAATAATGCAGTAATGCATGTTTTTGCATAATACGATCCAACTTAGTTTGCATCCATAGTCGCATATCGATGGCTAAAGTCGAAAATGCATATCTTAATTGCAACGTTTCAAAATCTTCTATTATGTTCAATTTTTTTTATTTGTTTCAAAAAAATTAGAAAACACACCGAAATTATTTCTTGTCACTGTAGATAATTTTGAATAAGTGAGGAATATCTACAGAAATCCACATGAAAAATTGGCCATTAGTTTTAGTCCAAAAAATGAGAAAAACAAAAATATATTAAAGTTTTGCAGCGTCGCATTTATAATTAGGTGTAGGTTATTTCGGCCTTGGCCATCAAAATCGATACCTAAAATCAGAGAGCACATATCTAAGTTTGTGACGGTGCAATCTCCTCATTATGATTTTATTTTTTAACTGGAAGGCAAATGGTAGTAAAGTTTAGAAAGTTTTCTTTGAAAATTGCAAGAAATGTAATGAGCCAATTTTCTCGAAAAATTACAAAACAAACGGGAATTCTGAACAATCGCATTTGAGATTTGTGGTTTTGGATTTTCTCATCATCGTTTATTTTGAAGGCTATAGGTCTCTAGAGCTATTCTGTTTTATTCTTAGCTTTTGTCTAATCTTAAGCATAAAGTCGTAACACGAAATTTTGGAATGTCTCTGGGTGAAATTCTACGTGGTCAAATTTCTTTTTCAATTATTTTGGTTCCCTTCATCGCTTATATTCCCGACGATTAGGTCCCGAACAGACGAGACATCGAGAAGCAACAAATTAAACAAGTCATTACGCCGTTTTTAATCGGTTACTCAAACTGGTAATTATGTTCGCTTAATCAAAGAAATCGCTCGTACGTCATGACAAACTATAGACTGACGCATGCGTTTTTAAATGTCAACAAAAGGGAATTTTTCAGCGAAAGCGCTAAACGGTGTGTGAAAATCAATTTTCGTCGGATTTCGGGACAAAGGTGTCGAAATCATCAGATAGTTCGCCATTTGATAACATTAAGATTTTTAACCGCGCCTTTTAAGTTTAAAATCAGGATTTGTTTCTTTAAACAATTCAACTATAAAGTTTGACGAGTAGATAGACGCATTTGCGAGCTTTTTCAAACCGAGCTACCATTTCTAATCTACGAATAGTGCTTCGATCTCAAGTTGAAGACTTTCCGAAGCTTCACACAATTACGTTCTTAAATCTGCTGAAAATTGATGCATTTACCGTCGAGTGTTGTCATAAGCTGAGCCTATTTCGTTTACTCAACAACGTATGTCAAATGTCATAAATCGGCTCAACCTAATTCGGTAATTATCGTTCGATTGAATCTTAAGCCGCTTTTTCCATAAATGTCAGGACCATAGAATCATATTCTGAGTTGCGGGAATAGGAATTGGCACTCGTAAAGTTAGTATTTCTGATGGCTATCTTTCCTCTCCCTGCTCTTCCATCACCATCCTCGTTGGAACCATAGTCGTTTCGTCCTCGTGATCTCTTTTTCGTATTGCGTGACTGTAGCTGTGCAAAAATCATGTGACTTTACAAGGACTTCAGCCATGTCAATCACAAGTATCGGCACTTTCATATTGCTGGTGAAACTACGGGAGCACACCCTCTTTCCCCGCATCACAAAATTTCCTTTTTCAAAAGGACAAGAACTCGTGCAGATATCGTCACCTTCCAGGCAAAGTATCACAAGCGCCACGCGACGTTTAAAAATTTCCGCCGCCATTTTATTTTTTTACAGAGAAATTGTTCAACGAAGCTGTCTGAAAATTTCACTGAATTTTCTTTGTGCTGCCGATAAAATTTAGTGAAACTTCCAAGCAGATTCAACCAACAATTTCTCAGCAAAGAAATAAAATGGCGGCGGAAATTTTTAAACGTCGCATGGCGTTTGTGATACTTTGCCTGGAAGGTGACGATATTACGATCAGTCGTCCATCAAAAACTTAAACCTAAACTTTGCAAACCTGTACGTGATTTTGTAGTTTGCCCGTCGATTGCTTGCGGTAACTTACCCCAACGTGATAGCTATCTGGCAACATTGTAATCATCTGACGTCAGATATGAAGGGATTTCCAACCCTCGCGATCGTCCAAATTACATCTCAATCAATTGACTATAAGGCCTCATTACTCGCGTACATTGCCATGCCGAGGATGAACGCCGTATGCATCTTCAGGCGTTGCAAGATTTGCTGCGATTAAACACGAATTCATCGGGAAAGTTGCTAATATTTTTAGTCTAATTTTTCAAACAATTTTGCCCGCAATTTCATCTAAATCATCGGAAAATTTTAAGGAAATATGCTTAACTCTCCTCAAAAATACGTGTTTTATCCGGGGAAATTCGGCAACTCTCGCGAATGTTCATACGACGCTGCTCCTGCATGGTAGAGTACCTATATTGAGAGAGTGTGGCCACTAGTGTTACCACCTCCGATTGGCTCAGCCATCTTAGGCTGAATGGAGCCCTTAGGACCCAAAAATGGCGGACGCTATAAATTAATGTAATGCAAAATGACTCAAAATGTAGTTTTCTTTGCTTATCGTAACGAGAAATTTACCCAAATGCACTATTGCGACTTATTTACATATTTTTAAGGCTAATCGTGTGCAATTTTTGAGAAAACTTATCTTGGATGTAGTAAAGTTGGCAGCAAGTGCGGTTGGTGATAACCGTCAATAGTTGGCAATGACCCCCCTCCCATCCACAAAAACCAAAACAAAGCACCGCCATTTTTGGGTCCTAAGCCTCTCCATGGGGCCCAGTGGCCATACTCTCTCAATATAGGTACTCTACTGCATGGCAGTACAGCGGATCAAGTATGGTAGCCAAGTGATGTGATAAAATTGCATTTTTCTGATTTCATTGCATAGAAGAAAGTGCCAATTGGACGTATTTCTATCAAACGGAACTATGTGCATTAAGACATGAGCCCTGAGACCCATAAGAACATGTGCATAACAGGGTTCACGTCATAATGCACATAGTTCCGTTTGATAGAAATACGTCCAATTTTTCAGCACAATCCGGAAAATGGCGATTCGTGAAAGTTGGCAACATTGGACTTCGCCCAGTTCAACACATGGATGACAGTCAATGTATCGAAGCAAACTGTTTCATCCTAAAGCGATTACTTTTAATGGATTCATATGGAGAAAGAACACAATAGCGCCAATTCGAAGCGCCAGCGCCACTTAACCTGGCAACCATGGAAACGGGTCAAAGTGACCATTATCAAGGCTCATTGATGGGTTCGAAATTTAATCGATTCGCAATCGATTGAGGAATTCCTCTTTGACCCGCTCTATTTTAGGGTGGTTTTTCAAACTTCAGTTCGCAGTTTGACTTCTACTTGTCACTAATTTCTAAAATTGAGGCATTTTTCGGTACAAGGGCGTATGAGACTTCCAATGCTGCTAAGATTGTGCAACGTAGTTTTCTAGTTGTATAAGTAACGTATCCGACAGTTCTGCTATGAATTTTTCCCTGAATTTGCTCCGAGTTTTTCCTCAATGTTATAAGGAACTAAGTCGGCTGTGAATGAATTTCATTGGCCACAAATGGGAAAAAATTTGCACAATCTCAGCAGCAATGTCAACCTCATACTCCCTTTTACCGGAAAATGTCTCAATTTTGTAAATGTTTTACGAAGAAAAATCTGTGGAAGTCAAACCCTGCATCGGATCTTCATTCTTAAAGATCATGAGATAGTTTGAAACAACCCTCACTCACGCCAGAGAGTTTTTAAAAGGACGTATGTACCAGTGGCGTGGCGTGAATTGCGATGGATCGATTGTTCTGCCATTTAAACCTATGGTAAAGAATCGATTATTAAGGTGTTCGCTGCGAACACCCTGCTTATCGATTCTTTTCCATAGGTTTAAATGGCATAACAATCGATATATTGCAAAGCACGCAACGCCACTGGTATGTACGCAAAAAGAAACAAAATTACACGCCAACTACATGCACATCAGAGGGCGAAGCGAGAATGATCTATTATCGATTATTAAAGTGTTCGTTGCGAACAACCTATTTATCGATCCTGTTCCATTAGTTTAAATGACAGATTCAGCGATGTATCGCAATGCACGCCACGGATGAACATAGTTTTGTTTAGCATGAATACATCTAATAGAGAAGATTATTTTTAGAAATGCCTAAGGGGCCAAACTCGAAAAATCATCGAACCTTGATCGTCCTATCCAGATAGACTTTCAGAGCTTTCATTTTGGAGCTTTGCCTCTTCTGAGACTAGACGGCATCACTCTAGAAATCGAGCTCCCACCCTAGTAATCGCAAGTTTCATCACCTGAAATAAAAAATTCAGTAGGTCGAAGCTCACTTTCGAAAAGATTCCCCCGCTGTCTCCAGTGGCGTGGCGTGCTTTGGAATGTATCGATTGATATGCCATTTAAACCTATAGAAAAGGATCGATAAACAGGGTGTTCGCAGCGAACACCGTAATAATCGATTCTTTACCATAGGTTTAAATGGCATAACAATCGATACATCGCAATTCACGCCACGCCACTGGCTCTCTCTCCTATTTTTTCTAGGATTTGG